GGTTCATTCAGGACAAGAAAAGAGAATTTGCCAGAGTTGCCCAAGTGTAGCTGGGACAAGCTGTCGAGGTTGAGAGGCTAAGTCAGCCTGCTGAGTCCAGGTTACTCGCCTTTTCGACCAACAAAACTCTCAGGGGCTTGTTCTTACCTCCTGAGAAAAACGATGTTTGATAAAAACTTTGGATATTTTACAATACTTAAATGAAAGTACAACTCTTAGCTTAATGGGAAATGATGATATACTTCTTGGTGAGAATTAGTATCCTTAAACTAGCTTGGAGACCTCCTCCAATTTTATTATTATTATTATTATTATTATTATTGTTGTTGTTGATTTCAGAGAGAGGAAGGGACAGGGAGAGAGAAATAGAAACATCAATGATGAGAGAGAATCATCGATCGGCTGCCTCCTGCACACCCCTTACTGGGGATCGAGCCCGAAACCTGGGCATGTACCCTGACCAGGAATTGAACCATGACCTCCTGGTTCATAGGTCAACGCTCAACCACTGAGCAACACTGTACCCCAAATTTAAAAGGTGGGCTGAGCAGGTTGACCTTAGCAATGCTTCATTAATTTTCAACTCCCTTCACTAGCAATTTGTTTTCCTTTAGGCCTCCCATACAAAAATGTATATAAATCTGTAAAACAATAGTTTAGGGTAGAGAAACAAATGAGAAAGAAGCATTTGTGTATTTACTGACAATCTGAATTCAGGTGTCTGATGTGAAGAGGCCTTAATCTATCCTTCATCTCATGTTCTCCTTTGCTTGGATTCTGGAAATGTTCAGAGGTTACTGATCCTAGCTTCCCCAGAGTTCACAGTTTAATCCCTAAATCCAGATGAGAAATACCCCATTTACCAAGTCAACTGTGAAGCCTATGGTATCAAAATCATATCCACTAAATTTAGTAAAAAATTCTTCAAATTGGACTTCCAACACTTGAAAAGTAAGAAACTGCTTTTACAAGTGTGGTGTTTTTCCACTGTCCTCTTCAGTTCCCTGGGGAAATTCCAAGGGGAAGAGACCAAGGATAAAGAGCTTTCTGTATTTCTCTTGGTTTTAACTGCTAAAACAATTTTTGTTCCATTAGGTTTGTAATGTGAGATCTTTCAGAGTAAATTTACACAACAGCCTCTGACTTTATTAATTCGTCACAACTAACGTAGTCTTCACATGTCTAAAAACAAATTGCTGACGGCTCATAAATTCCATCATCTACTTACACACTGCCTTGAAAATTAAGTACAAAATTAATCCAGAATTACAAAGACTCTTGTGCTAGCGTGGCATATCTGTATACATGTGGGATGCAATAAATAATCAGCAACTCATCTTTCTAGGGTTCTACTCAAATTTAGTCCAACGTCAACCTAATCTACAAAATATAGGTAGCTAAACACAATTTGAAATAACCCTGAGAGGCCATCTGGCCACTGGCCTCCAGATAGAAAGAATCTCTTAAGTCTGGAGGAATGACAAATGCCATGAGATATTATCTAACTGCTTACCCAAAGTATCTCCAAAGATGGGGTCAGTGCCTTTCTGGTTGTACTTTTCATATTCATAGAATGGGGAAAGTTTGCAGAAATATGGATGGTAGGCCTCCCCTAGTAATAAATACTTCGAAACTCCCCAAAGCAGATCCATTGGAAAATTGCTGCCTTGCTCCAAGAATTAAACCCCTATCTTGTGAAACTCAGCTTACCTCCTTCCCACTTCCATCCCCAAATTTCTGGAGTGGCAGACAAGTGAATTACACCACTAAGCTGCAGAATGGTGCTGTGTTAGCAAATTAACAAGGGCATGTGTAAAGTCTAAAGTTGTACCCCAAATAAAGAGCTGTAGAAATTTGAAAAAGCATTTAATTTCATTATTTCATTGGCTCTCAAATTCTCAGATCACCAATCTGCCTTTTAAGTCAGCAGAGTGAGGGCAACACTGACAGAATGAACTGGGTAGAGGGAAAAAGAGTTGGTGTCTGGAGCAGTTATTTTTTTCCATTACAACCGTGACCGACAGAATAACTGACTAAATTAACTTCATCCAGGGAAATTAAATGGATTTTTCACTAACTCACACTCCGCTCCCCCCACCCCCAATTCACAAAGTCTCTAAAACCAGTTTTGGAACTACTTGTATTTTGTTGGGAACACCTGTGGGGCAAATTCTAATTGATGGTAGCACTTGTCCAGAACACATCAATCAGACACAAACTGTTCAAGCAATTCTGAAACATTATCTGTCACTTAACTTGACTCTTGGTTTTCTCAATGGATTAACTATCCAGAACAGCTGAAACTCTAAGAGAACTTCATTCTGCCAAATACCAAAAAACTAAATATGTACTTAAAATTAAAATGTTATCAGTAGCCATCTAGATTATTCCAAAAGGAAATAATTACAAACCAACATAATTAGTAGATGTAAGAGGCTAAAAGCTGTAAATTGAAAGCAAATATTAAAAATACTGAATCCAGCCTGCAGGTGACTAAAGGGCCTGCAAGTCTCAAATATGCAAAGATCCCAAATATGAAAAATTCAAGTAAAAATATCCACTGAATAATAGGCACAAATTCTCAAATTTTGAGGGATTCTGGGCCACTATTTCTTCATAATCTCATAAAGTATTATCATTAATCTCATTTTATAAGTAACAAAATTTAGTATTCTAAGAGATTAAGTCATTTGCCCAAGTTCACACAGCTATTAGGGACAAAAGCAGTCTTTGAACCCAGGCTGTGAGACTCCAAAGTGAGCTTGACTGCTATCCTGTATGAGTTCAGCCTCATCACACCAGGTAACTTTTGGAGGTTTAAAGTTATTTGAACTGAGACAGAAGTTATAAGGGAAAAAAGCTGCCCTTGCTCCCAAAAGGCTAGTTTCAGACTCATGATACTAGATGCCACTGCTTTCAAGCTTGTAGCCTATAATCAACCCACATTGAAACCAGATTTATGAGCTCTTCAGAAGAGAGTTTTGTGATTTTCTAAAGCAGACACGTTTGGTATTTTAGAAGGTCAAACCCCCTATGGTACAGTGTTTTTAATAAAATCAGTTCAGCAGAAATTAGAGACGCATTAGGCAATTTCTAGGAAGTCTCTGCGCCGTTCAAAATAAGGGGGGAAATAACATAAAAGACATACCCATATACAGATCAATTTTTTTAAGGGGCGTAGATACAGAAACATCGCAAATTTGATCCCATTTGTCTCTGGTTTGGGCAAATTTACACTTAGAAAGGAAAATTACTTTTGGGGGGGGTAGTTTTATGTCAATATTAAACAAGGGCTGTTCCTGGTTAGCCCAGCCTTGTACTGACACCTCAAAGTAACAGTAAACATCTCTATGAGGGAAAAACAAATACACCAGTCATTACCATTCTTACATCACTGAATCAGGTAGGTAGTTATTTCATGAAGGGTCTTTTATCTCCACTCTTGGCAACTTCTACACTCTCATAGGAAAGCAAAAGTAGAATCTATATTTAGTTCTTAGTAAAAATCAAAGTTGGGAAACCTGCAATATTTTTATTGAAAGGCCAAATTATGCTTAGATCTGACTTTAAGACATGTGCAAATACTAAATGAATGACAGGATTTAAAAGAAGAGGATTGTTATTAGCAAAAGAGACAGGGCCAGTCTATTAAGTGGCTAGAACATGAGCCCCAGACACCCAGTCTGACAGAGCACGGCACAGTGCCACCACCCCACTAAACAGGGAGGTGTAAACAGCCTCATGAATTTACAGTAGAAAGAACAAGATGCAGGTGAGGGAACACAGAACCAAGTGAAGACTCTTTGCATTCACCTTCCATTAGTTGTGAGATTTTAGCGTTAGTCTGAACCTAGGCCTTTCCAGGAACATGGGGTTTACTGATATCCAAGTGTTTCAAAGCACATGAATTTAAATCCTTCAATGCTGTATTTCCTAATGAACTGCTGAGTTCTTAGTTACCTGGTACTTGGAAGAAATGAGATGAAGAGAGAATAGCAGGGCAAGCAGAAGAAAATTAACACTACACAGTTGATATAAAGGCTGGCTACTTAAAGAATCACTGAACTTGTATGGTTGTACATGAGACGAGAAATCATAAGGAGTAAGTCTTTCAATCTAAGTGGAAAAACTATAATTTGATCTAGAGCTAGAAAGCAAAGGTGAGGGTGGAAATTTCATCAATGGCAATTTTGATCAATTCACTTCTCTAGACAGGTTTGAGATAGTGAGGTCCCACAATTCTTTGGCTCCCTCAAAGATTTACACACATAAAATTTAAGACCTTTTATAAGTTGTTAAGTCATGAATCCACAAACTGTCAATCTCAAAAAGCACAAAACAAATCTGTCATTTATTAAAATGCATATTTATTCCATAGCCTACTTTGTTTGGGCTGTGGCCTATTAATTATTAAATAAACTAGGTACTCATTTTTAGACTAGTCCTTTCAATTCAGATTCTTCCATGAGCTTGGCTACTGCATCTGCCTTAAGGGACCCAAATTATATTCATCATAAAATATTCCAGAAAATACTTTTTAAAGATCCTTTAACACTCATAAAAGAAAACCCCATACTCAAATATGCAGGCTATAGATTTTTAAGCAAAAAGTTTCAAATATACAAAAGAATCGAGGGAAAAAAACCTACATGGCACATTATTCTCATTTAAGATAACAAAGATCCATTTGGGGAGAAAGGTACAATGTGGCATGGGTTTAAATTCAGGCTGGGCAGTGTTGCCAGACAGAAAGTCCTACGGGGCTTTACACTGGTGTATTAAGTTAGTGGCTAAAGTCAATGTTTTGTTTGGTTATGTTAATAAAAGGATCATTTGGGGGAGGAAAACTAGAAGCACTGTGTGTTACTTAAATCTCAGTTGATATATTGTGTTCACTATGGAAAACCTTTCTAAAAATTGAGAGGTAAAAAATAAAATGTTAGTATAACACTGTTGAAGGAAGTTTTGAAAACTGGGAGCATGGTACAATAAAGTTTGGCTAACTTGGTGTTCAAAATATTTAATTCCATTTGAGACAGAGTAAACAGTAGAAGTAGGCAGTGACTAACTTTACCCAAAAAAAGTTTTCATTTAGGTTTTTTTTTTTTCCTGGTTGGAGGTAGACATTTTTAAAAGCATTATAGAGCAAGTGGATCAAGTTGATAAATAACAGTACATCTGCTAAGGCAACTTCAGAAACAATCATATCTCATCTGGTATAAATACGTTTAAGATTTCTCTTAGATAAAAGTTAAAAACCAGAATGAACCAAACAAAAAATGTGGGTAAGACACTAAGTGATGAGCAGTCCATTTAGATATTCTACATGCTGTAAGAGTTACACATGCACATGTAAGAATAAACAAGATTTTGGTCTTGTTTTAAAAAAAAAAGAAAGGAAGGAAGAAAGGAAGATCAAGCCAAATCCTATAGTTAGGCCCTACTCTGAGCAACAGATCTTCATTTGTAAAATTAACATGTAGTTTCTTACATTTCCCACTTAGTTTTTAATTTATGACAAGACACTGCTCAATTTCAGACAAAAATATAGATATATATTTTTAAATCTTTACAATAAATCAAGATGTAGGAGCTTACACAGAGCACATTTTAGTTTATTTAGGTACTCATTCCAGCTCCCTCAGATGCAAATCACCCTGGTAACAGTGTGTACATAGTCTTCTCTTTGCTTTTAATAATTTCAAAGCAAAAAATACATTTGACTGTATGTAAGTCTGTGCAAATAATCCTTCAGAAGAAACAGCCAAGATTCTGTCTGCAGAGGTCATTTTCTCTCTCAAAGATGATTACATGAGTTTGTTTTTCTTCGGATAAAGTGCTCCTGTCCAGCGGAACTCAAAGGCCTTCAAGCGTCCAAGAAGCTCAGTTCAGATAAGACGTGGTCATACGAATTCCAGCTTCCCGTGACCACTGTACATGCTCCAGTGAACGAGTGAGAGGATCTTGTCATTGCTGAGGTCTGCTTGTCTCATTTTGTCACAGGTCAGACAGCAGTTCTCATGCCCACTCACCGGCACCATGCATTCCAAGTCCAACTTTGCAACCTGCCCCTTTTTGGAATGGTGTCCGTGAAAGCTATAGTGCAAACGGGAGAGCATCTGTTGCCGCTGATCCCGCAGTCTCTTGTTTTCACTTCGCAGCATCCTCAAGGCCAACATAATAAGCAACACTAAGATCAGCCCTCCAGCGATAGGAACAGCAATCACTGCTGCCCGGAACCACAACTCTTTGGAAGAAGTCAGCTCCTGCACTTTGGTGATGAGGTTTCTGCTACCATCATGCTGATACCGGTTTCCTTGGCCTACAGGAGCACAAGCAAAACCATGTTAACCCCTCCTGTTACATATTTATGCTCATCTATCCATTTTAAACCAGGCACCCCAATAAATAGCTTACAATTAAGTCAACAATATTTAGAAAATAAATGTTGCAAAAACAATGCAAAAAAGATTACAAAAACATTTGTTTACAGACTGTCATTAGGAGTATTAATGGCCTTTTAATGTCTTCCAACTGTTGGAAAAACAGGCAAAATCTATTATGTAGACAGACATCTAATGCTCAGGCAGACATAAAAGCTACTCAATAGAGATGCATCTTTGCATCCAGCCATTCTTCTCCCTCTGCTGTCTCTAATTACATTAACAACAAAATCAATAGCAGACATACAAAGTCTTGGCTATCACAAGTCTATATAGATTAGGCGAGCATTTTGGTTAGAAAGGGCCTCTGCCTACCTGAGGCCTCCCCCTTGGGAGAAGAGAGAACGTCATGGAGCCCTCTGTAATTGCACATATCTTCATGACAGCATTCCAATGTGGGCATGGTGGTGCCAGAGTGGTTCTGTGCCTGTTTGGCTTGGCAGATGTCTGCTGTGCTTGCGAGAGAGTCCAGGCAGCCATGGGTGAGTGGGGAATTTGTATTCTGAGGATCAAGAAGCCTGGAGAAGCAGGCACTCAGCTCAGACTTACACATATAGCCAGTTGCCACGCAGTGGGCAGCATCACAGTAGCATCTGATTTCACCTGAAAACAAGGAGAAATTGCATCAAACTGCTTCAGAGACCAGATCATGCACCTGCTTAAGCAAATGCTAAATCCCAAACTCGAAGGCACTAACTTTTAGAATACTCAGCCGAGTGCTTACAACTGCAGGCCATGCAGACCCAGAAAGCCCTTTGTGCAAGCCTGTGCTTTAATTCAGACAAGATCGGGATCGGGCGCGTTCAGGGTGGTATGGCCGCAGACCTGTGCTTTCATTTCAATCCAGTGAATACAACTTTAGAAATGTAGTAACCTTAGTAGCAGAGACTCAAAGTCCAATTTAGGTTTCTGTTAAGTTAGTAATTAAAAATACTTTTGTTTTTTAAGGAAAATAATAGTCACAATAATCTCTCCTACCGTAAGGTAGATTACATTATTTACTCATTTTAATCCTACATGACCATACAACGTGAAAATACTAGGCTTTTTGATTTTGTCAGTATAAATATTTGATCGGAACTACTGAATTGTTTACTACCTCGAAGGGCTGTGCCAAGATTTAAGAGCTTTAGCTAACACCTTATAAAGTTATTAACTAGAAACACAACAATCTAGAAATTGCTCCAGTCAGGAGGTTTTAAAACTATGAAACTGGGCAGCTATTTGCAACCTCTCTAGAAAAGGCAAACTTTGCCTATAAAGATCTTTTCATGCAGAGGAGCTTTTAGTATATTGTAAAACAGGAACTAGGCAGTTTACAATTAGTGGTTTGCTTGCCAAAGTCAATTTCTTTCAGCCCAAATGGAAAGTCATAAATCTGGGGGTGGAGGGGAGAGTGTAAAACTGAAAGGCTAACTTCTCCTCCCCCCAACTCCCCAGTTTTACATGTAATTCAACATGGGATCTAAAAGGGGAAACACTGAATCTGAAAATCCTCTGCTGGTTCAATGAAAAATCCTTAAGGAAACCTCAAATTTTTCTACAGGAAGTGATTAAAGTTTCCTTTATAAAACTTATTTTGCGAGTCACTGTTAACATTTTGCTGCAATGCAAGATCTGAGGCTTTTAACATCAATTTCTAGTTGAAATAATCTGGGTCTCAGAGTTTTCACTAATATGATTTCCAACCCAGTGACTCCAGTCATTGTCACATGCCTCAGCGAAAGCTACTGTAAATTGAACTAATGCACATGCCTCTCTCTAGCTTTCCAATCTGAAGTTCCGTCTCGCTACTGAAACCTCCACTCTGAAACCGCACACCTCTTCCCATCCTCACCTTTCCTCCTCCTCCTCGCCGGGGAATGCCTGAGTAAGGTGTCTCATTTAATTATCTGTCCAAATTCCAGGCCACCGTGTGGCACGCTCAGTTTTCACCAGAGGCTGCTAAAGCTTCATTCCAAAAAGACTAGCCAACTATAGATAGATCTTTGGCAAGCTGCGTTTAACTGTCCAAAGCTGGAGGTCCTGCTTCTATTCTAAATTTCTCATTCTGAGCTCCCCGACCTGGGTCTGGGCCCAAGACCTTCAAGTTAGGAGCTTGCTCTACAAAAGGTGCTTTTCTCCTCTTTCGAGCCTATTTGATTTTTCGCATAAAGCTCACTAGTCTTAAGGGATTGATGATACCTACATGTCCCTAGTCTGACAAATTCCATATACAGACTTAAAGTTGAAATAAAACAGATTAAAAGTCCGTTTTGATCCTATTCACCTCAGACCTCATGCAGAAAAAAAACAATATAAGTGAAATGCTGCTTAAATGTTTATGAGAGCCTATTTAAGATACGATACTTTCAATGACCTAAAACAGTCTAATAAAATTTTGACAAGTAACCAAAAAAGTTCTAACAACTTTTTAAAAAAATTGGAGCCACATTGAGCAAGTTGAATTAACTTTTGTATTACTGTATTAAAACTATATTTCTGTCGTTTCATGAAGTTTCTTCCTGTGGCATGCAAAAGGCCAGAAAGGGGACTGGTATTTTGAAACAGTGAACAATGCTCTTCTGTTTCCCCCCTTTCTTGTTACTGTATGTAGTGATTAAACAAAAATGTCTGCTTTAGTCAAGATGGCTACAGGAGAGACTGCTGGCTTCTTTTAAAGCTTTTGAAGTCAGCAGCAGTCAGAAATCTCTGATCCCCTAATTATATCATTATCAGGCACATAGTTTCGGTATCTGTGACTTCATGTCAGCCTCAGTCCCTCCCTGCTCTGCCGCCTTTGATAGGCCAGGAGGCTCCCCTCTGCAGGCTGAGAGGGCTGTTATTTAGGGTTAATTACACCCTTCCTTCCAAAATAAATAAATACTGTAGCACATCATCTTTGCTGGGCTGGCTTATCCTTTTAACCTCATGCCGGCTACATGGCAATTAGAGAAAAGTGGGGGGTGCAGAAGCTAAACACTACTTCCTATTTAAAAAAAAAAATTATCTGTAGTTCATGGCAGGATAGGTGAGGGAAGCTTGAAATCTAGATGGAGTTTGGGTTATTTCTAACAGCAAGGTGGAAGCCTGCAGGGGGAAAAAAAAACTGACTGCCGTTTTGTTGTTTTTCAGTAGTACTTGTAAAATACGAGGTGAGTGGGAAATGGGATCACTGACAGAGGCTGCTCCTCCCAGCCACTCAGAAGAGCACAGCATCTACTCCTGCACACTGATCTCACACCCCGACACCTACACCCCGGGAGGCACACACTCGCTGGTTCACAAAGTCACTCGCTGAGAGATACAAAGAAACACTCATGGGCAGAGTACACACAAGTACAGAGGCAGACGCAAATAGAGATTTATGCAAATACAGACGCACAACAAAGACGCACTCAGGGCAGAGACACATTCAAATATACAGACATATTCAAAGACACTCAAATACAGAGACATATTCAAATACAGAAACAGATTCAAACAGAGTGACACGCGCTAACAGACGCGCTCGCTCTGGCCCGGTGCAACTGGGGGCAGGGTCTGGGCTCCCCCCGCGCTTCCCCGCCGGGCGGGGAGGGAGGCGGCGTCCGAGCCCACACTACCGCCCCGCTCCCCCGCCGCAGATGGTCCCAAGCTTACTACAGACAGACCTACACAAACATTTTGACAACCGCTTGCCCCGAGGTCTGACTGCCCCTCCACGCGCCGTGCCCGAGACACCCGAGGGGTCGGCCGCGAAGCCACCGCCGCGACTTCTAAGAACTAGCAACTTGTCGCGACCTGCGGGCTCCAGCGCGAGAGGAAGCCTCGCCCGCCGCTAACAAAGCCCTGGCAGCCGGCTTCAAAGGCTCGCGACGGCGACCGCCCCGGGACACCGCGCACCCCTGCCCGGGGTGGGGGTGGGGGAGCGTCCCGGCGGGCACCCACCTTTGGTGAGCAGCACCGCCATGGCGCAGAGTTCGAGCTGCAGCCAGATGAAGATGTAGCTGGAATGGCGATCCATTGACGCCCCCCACGGCCGCGGAGCCACCGCCGGTCCCGGAGCCGCGGGCAGCTGCAGCCTACGACTCCCGGAGCGCGCAGCGCATGAGTACTGCCCAGGGAGGGGGCGCCGTCAGCGATGGGGCGAGGGGCCGGGCAGCGTTCGGAGCATGGAAAGCGGCTGGAGGGTGTGCCGAGGAGGCCAGAGGGCTTTCGCCGGCCGCCTCTGTGGGCACCGGCTCCCTCGCTAAGCTCGGCGCCGCAGTCCCGGGTGAGCTCTAGCCGCTCTGCGAA